GTGTGTGTGTGTGTGTGTGTGTGTGTGTGTGTGTGTGTGTGTGTGTGTGAGAGAGAGAGAGAGAGAGAGAGAGAGAAAGTTGGCATTGTTGTCCTGAGAGGAAAACTCCCCGAGTTGTCTTCCTCTTCTTCTTCTTCTTCTTCTTCTTCTTCTTCCCCCCACCACCTCACTCCATCAGTGCATGATGCAAAGGGAGCTCCATGTATGGACCCCTCCCTTCGGAGTGTGAGCTCAGATCTGTGTCACATTGTCAGTTCGTCGCCTGATCAGGTCAGGTGTCTGATTTCAGTCTCCCACTGTGTTATATTATGCCTCTCCCCCATGTTAATGATTCTTGGACTTAGCATCCCTGCTGATTCACCTTGGCATGCATCAGCACTACCTTTTTTCGAAAAAGAATTTAGGCTCATCCCGCTGGTTGGGAAAGGCAGGGTTTGATATACAGCAAAGCAAGAACGAGGTATGCAAGGGTGCACTCACACCCTCAAGGGGTGCATTTCATACAGAAGAAGAAACTGCACCCCAAAGGCAGTCAAATGTCCTGTCTCTGTCTCATGTCAATCATCCACGTTTGTCTGAGCCTGGTAACCTGTACCTCCGATGTGGTCTTGCCAGCTGTCCAAGGTTTTTAACATGTCACCTGCTGTGGACATGGCCTTTTCAAGTGCCCTTGTTTCTTCTCATATTTGCAATTGGGTTTGCTTGCTATTCCTGGTGCTGCACTGGGTTGGGAGAGAGAGGAGGGGAAGGGGGAGGTGGATATGTGGGTTGTGGGAAGCCAGGTGAAGGACAGTGAAGGATTTGTTGCCTGCTTGGTCTGCCTTCATCCCTCCAGAGAACGTCTAGGGTTATAAATGAGCCAACGTGACTAACAAGTTCTGTTCCCGTACCCTGCCTTCACAATGTTTTGTGTGTTTCTGTGGCTTCTAGGCTGGGGTCGCTAGGAAGATTCTGAAGACCATGCCAGGACTTCGACTTGGCATAAATCTCACTCCCAGAGCTCATCAGGTTTGTTGGACAGCCGGGAGGGGGGGGCGAGGGGACGGAAAGGGTTTGTTTGGACAGTCAACGTATGAATGTTCCCCTGTACAGTCCTGCATTGCATATCCAATTCCAATTCGAGTGATTGTGAGGGATGCTACCATGGATTTCCGCTGAACATGATAGGCAGCTTAAATGACCAATACCTGGAAGGGCCTCCTTTTCCCAGCATAGTGACTTCAATAGGCCTGGATTTCCCCCTGCTGGACTGCCGGAAACCAGTATGGTACCTGGCTTCATTAGGCTTGGCAGGTCACGTTCGCAGGTATGAAAACAGGTTGGCTGGCGGTTGAACTTCACAACTGGGAAGAATGTTCCTGGCCTGTACCATGGACTCCCACTGAGCATGATAGAGAGTGAGTGGGCTCTTGACATGATCAAAGTTGTGGGGGAGGCAGATGAAGTTGGAGATGGAGAGGAAGGGAGGAGGTAAGGGTAGCAAAGGGAGGGGAAAGTGTATCTGGTGATGTTGTCTAGGCGGCACAACCAGGGAGAATGTCCAAGGTGGTGTGTGGAGTACAGGTTATTGGTTTTGTAGGCTGTGCCGCTGGTGGGGCCACAACGGGTCAATGCCAACATGGCGATTGACAGGCCTTTCAACAATTCCAGATCAGGGGACCTCAAGATGTCAGCAGGTGCTTCAAGATGTCGGCACGACCATCAAGTTGTTAGTGTCAAAACTTTATGGAATGTAAATCATGGAATTGCTGTGTAATTTGAGTGGCAGTTTGAGTGTGGCTGAACCGGATGGAGCAGTGGGCATCCACAGGCAGGTCAAAGCGATGGACAGATGAAAGGAGGGAGGTGTGGATGTGTATGTGGGTCAGGAGGTGGTGATGGGTGTTGACTGGGAAAGGAATGGACAGAGGGATGAAAGGAAGGTGTAATCGCTGCATGCAAGCATATACTCACGAAGTCCTTGGCAACATTTGTTCAAATCATACTTGTGGCATGCATATGCTGTGCACTGCATGCCATGCAGAATGCGTTTGTGCGAGACAATGCCCGGCTAATGTAGAGAGATATGGCCCATTGTCCTCCGGGAAATTCGTCTTGTATGGGGCATACGGACCCAAATGTGACAAGGAGAACATAGCGAGTGTTTCTAATAACTTTCTATCCACGTTAGCAAGTGTATCTGTCTGCCTTAGCAAGTGTATCTATCCGCCTTCAGGCTTTTGTAGATATATGGCCCTAAATATCAAAAAGAGAAAAACAAACAGCAAGTGTATCACTGCGTTCTGGCGATGGCCAATGGCGGCTTATTGCGACTTGTATGCTATTCAAAACGAAATAGTCAGACAGCCGGTGAAGCAGGGGCAGCTTGGTAGGCAAGGGGTGGAGACACGCTGGATCACAGGCGCCTGGGAAAGTTGAAATGCAGATCAATGTGTGAAAGAATCAGAAAGATGGAATATACAGGCTATGTTACAACCATCAAAGTTTACAAAGCACCTTGTCTCCAACGAAGAGGTCGCAGCGCTGTCAAGATTCTGGGGATCGCCATTGATCCCATTTCCGCAAGCAGTCGTCAAAAGAGCTGACCAGGGCAGTCGTCGTCGAGTGGGCCCCCACTCTGGGCAAACAAGGAAACAAGTCAACCAAGGGAGGCCGTCGAACAAGTTGCATCCACGGATGAGCATTATCTCGGGGAAAGTGAAAAACAGAGGTTGGCCGCTGCCAACCATCTGGGTGAGCCTGGCTGCCCTTCAATTAGAGCCGGGGTCAATTTGCCTGGCCCGCCTTCACTTAGGACAGGCAGGGCCTTTCTCATCACGCCTGAGGGGCCTAGATCCTCGGAGAAAGGAAGCCTTAGGAACAAAGGGATGGACACAGACGTGGAGTAGACGTAAAGAATAAGGCAATAGGGACAGGTCAAGAGAAGAACCAAGGTGAGATTTCAATAGACTTTGAAGGACCAAAAGGAGGTGGTAAAGGAAGACCTTGACCTTAAACTTTGAGCCGGATCTAACCTAAGCTCGAACTAACTTTAGAGCCGAGGCGGCAGGTCTTATCAATTGCTGCAATGTGTGCTCCTAGGACGCAAGATGATTATGATGACGGCTAAAAGGACGAGTAGATTCGTAGAACGGCCATGAGATGAAAAGAAGCTAAGAAGAAGGTTGGCTATGGAGGATGGGTGAAGGTGGAAGAAGGTAAGGGTTGAAAAAGGAGCTTGACAGCCTTGACTATGGGGGATGGGTGAGTTGGAAGAAGGATAAATTTGAAGAAGAAGGTGGGCTATGAAGGATGGGTGACGGTAGAAGGGCTTAGGGTTTAAGGTTGAAGCTTCACTATGGAGGATGGCTGAGGGTGGAAGATGCGTAAGGGTTGAAGAAAAAGGTTGGCTATGGAGGAGGGGTGAAGGTGGGAGAACGACATGGATTGAAGAAGATGCTTGGCCATTGTGGACGGGTGAGGTTGAAGAGGGGTAAGGGTTGAAGAAGAAGATTGGCTATGGAGGATGAGTGAAGGTGGAGGATGAGTGAAGGTGGAGGATGAGTGAAGGTGGAAAGAGGGTAAGGGTTGAAGAAGAAGGTGCCATATGGAGGATAGGTGAACGTGGAGAAGCAGGTTGACTATGGAGGAAGGTGGACGAAGGGTTAAGGGTTTAGGGTTTAAGGAAGGAAGACGGCTATGGAGGGCATGTTTAGGTGGAGTATAGCGGAGGTAGGGTATAGCTGGATGATGGCTATGGGGTCAAGTACAGGATGGGAAGTGTTTAGGAAGTCGATGGTGGGTGGGAGGTGGCTATGGAAGTGAAGTATAAGTCCCGGTAAGGCGGAGGTAAGGGACAGGTTGGTGATGGCTATAGGGTCAAGTATTGGAAGGAACGTGGTTAGGAAGTTGTTGGTGGATGGGAGGTGGCTATGGAGGTGAAGTATAGCTAGTGGGGTATGGCAGAGGTAGGAGATAGATAGGTTATGGCTATGGGGTAGAGGTCGGGAAGTGTTGAGGAAGTTGATGGTGGGTGGGTATCGCGGTGGTAGGTGATAGCTATGGGGTCAAGTATAGGTTGGGAGGTGTTGAGGAAGTTGGTGGTGTGTGGAAGGTGGCTATGGAGGGTAGATGAGGTAGGTGGAGGGTGCAAGGTGAAGTGGTGAGGTAAGTAAGTGGAGGGTGGAAGGTGAAGTGGAAGGTAGAGGTTGGCCATGGACAATGGGTGAGGTAGGTGGAGGATGGAACGTGAACTGGAAGGTGGAGGTTAGCTATGGAGGTTGGGTAGGGGTTAGGTTGTGCTGTGGAGGTAGGGAATAGGCTCAGAAGTGGCTATGGAAGTTGGGAAGGGGTAGGGGAGTACATCAGAGGTATTTGATAGGTCGGGAGTGGCTATGGGGTTTGAGTAGGGGCTAGGTAGTGCAGTGGAGGTAGGGAACAGGCTCGAAAGTGACTGTGGAAGTTGTGAAGGGGTAGGGAAGTACAGCAGAGGTGGTTGATAGGTTGGGGGTGGCTATGGATGTTGGGTAGGGGTTAGGTAGTGCAGCAGAGCTACCAAATAGGCTTGGAAGTGTCTATGGAAGCTGGGAAGGAGGTCAGTACAGCGGAGGTAGTTGATAGGGTGGGGGTGGTTTTGGAGGTTCTGTAGGGGTCGGTAGTGCAGCGTAGGTAGGGCTCGAAATTGGCTATGGAAGTTGGGAAGGGGTAGGGGAGTACATCGGAGGTAGTTGGTAGGTAGGGAATGGCTATGGGGGTTGGGTAGTGGTTAGGTAGCACAGCATAGGAATAGGCTTGAAAGTGGTCGTGGAAGTTAGCAAGAGTGCAGCGGAGGTAGTGAATGGCCTTGGAATTCGATGTGGGAGTTGGGAAGGGGTAGGGGAGTACAGTGAAGGTAGTCGGTAGGTTGGGGGTGGCTGTGGGCGTTGGGTAGGGGTTAGGTAGGGCAGCAGAGTAGGGAAAAGGTCGGAAGTGGCTATGGAAGTTGGGAAGGGGTAAAGGCGGGATATAGCATGCTGAGGTGTGGCATACTGCGCAGCCACACGGGCCTGCAGGGCCCGACCAGACGGAAAATTAGGGCCCTACAGGCCCTGTGTCGTTTTCAGCCTAAAAGCCTGAAAATGAGGGCCTACAGGCCCTGTGTGGTTTCAGCCTGAAAGCCTGAAAACAAGGGCCTACAGGCGCCGTGTCATTTCAGCCTAAAAGCCTGAAAACAAGGGCCTACTGGCCCTGTGTCGTTTCAGCCTAAAAGCCTGAAAACGAGGGCCTACAGGCCCTGTGTCGTTTCAGCCTAAAAGCCTGAAAAC